TATATATATATATATATATATTATAGATCACGTCACACAAGTGTTTGTTACAGATTTAATGTGTGAATTAATTACATTTTAATTAATATAAAGATGAAAGGGTGAGTATAAAATTGAAGGAAAATTGGGTATTAATTAAAAAAAAAATTATAGCTATTATAATACAGCATTTGTTGTAGGGCCTATAGGCAAAATAAGTCTATAATATTGTAGGGCCTTAGGCAAGAAATAAGTCTATAATAGAGCATCTATAATAGGGTTTACAAGCAAAATTCTATAATATTTTATTAATTTAATTTGATATATTTAATATATTTTATCCACTTAATAATTATATAGACATTATTATTTTAAAAAAATGTATATATAGGCCTATTTTGTGTAGAATAATATAATAAATCATAAGAAAGTTTAATTTTAAATTAAAATTTAATTGATTGTTATGGTATTGTTATGTTTTTCACTTATATTTTATTTATTATTTTATTTATTTATTTCTTTTTAAATTAGAGAATAATCAAATAAAATATAATTACAATAAATGGGGGCTTAATTGTAATTAATTTCATCAATTATTCCTTTAATTTAATTCCATTTTAATAATCATGATATTCATTAAATGTTTTGGTTCCTTTGCCATTTCTTTAGATTAAAATATCCTTTAAATTATTATCATTAGACGTTTTTTAAGAATTAATTTTACCATAATTACCATAATTACATTTATTATTTTAAGTGATTCTACTTAAATATCGTAAGTTAATCTCTAATATATTTCCTCTACCATTTCTACCATAACTACAATATATTTACAACTACTCCTTCATTTTATTCTCCTTTAATGGTAAAATTTTATGGTAAAATTCACATTTACCATAAAATTAATCATATAATTCTATTGCCAAGACCTTTAAGACGTAAATTTAAAGCATATACAATACAAATTCCATGAAAATGAACCCAAATTCCTCCTCTTTTTGATGGCGGAACCTCTGAACAACGGCCGTTTCTTTACGTTCCCGTCGATGACCGTTGTTGAGAGGTGTCCGTTATCGCAGGTTGGACTGTATTCCCATTTTAGTTACGCTACTTTCTACGTTAGATAGTGTTTAATGATATTACAGTTTAATTTCTTTTATATTGATAATTATTCTATAGAATTTCAGCATAATATAAACCCTTTAAACCTCTCTATATATATATTATTGAATACCTTTAAAATAATTATAAAATATTTAGGAAATCCTGAGGAGTTTTGTAACAAATCAAACGACATAGTTACAAAACAATTTTCTCGTTTAATTAATGAGAATTACTAAATAACTTTTTAAATATAATTCGAAATGATGTGAGTCACGTCAACATGCTACAATAATGACGCAATTTAATGCGTCATACAAGCACGTGCGAAAAGTCCTCCCTCCATGTTCGTGATATGTTTCGTATTGATGTATGAGTTATGGAAATTTTCGTTAAAAGAGAACATTTCTCTCAATAATCAGTCGATTCATTTGTTTATTAAGCGTATAGAAATATGTGTACGTTCGTGTGTCTGTCTGTATTTAATATTACTAAATCTTTGCATTATTAACGAGTGTTTCTTACTGAATATTTAACGAAATGATAAAATGTTTTACTTCTTAATTAATGTTAAACAAAATCTAATAGTTTCGAATATAATTAAATGAAATTCAGTGGAGCATTATAGCTTCATGGATCCAAGGGGAATTTAAATTTCGGAATCCCATTTACATTATTTGGGCCTTCTAATTCAATTTCTTCAGACATTTTTCTTGGGGGAATATTTTCGTATAAAAGATCGGTTTGAGGCCACCTATTGATGGGGGCCCCAGGCAATTTTCCTATGCCGGATATGTCAGCGCCCTTTCCTCAGTACTTGGTCGCTTCTATTTTGGGCCTGAAGAATCCACAATGGGTATAGAGAGAAAAAAAGGCCTTTTTAGTAATACAACAGGGTAAAAAGAGTAAAAAAAAAAATGAAACATTTTATGCACTTGGGCACGTCAAGGGTGTAAGATTATACACCTCAATTACTTTTACGATTATAATTTTTGTAGAATGGATTCAGGGGAGGACCAAGTGCTCGTTTGTCTTCTTCTGCGGACTCACCTGTGTACCCTATACATACGTGTACATACAGAGACCACGGGTTGCTTGCTATATATATATATATGGCAAGCAATACGTGGAAGGATTCTTCCCAGAAGGACTTTCTACTGGAAATTGTCCGATTTAGGTGGTTACTAACGTGAAGAAAACCCAGAAAACTCCCATGCCCGTTGGCCAAATGCGAACTCACGATCAACTACAAGTATTCAGTGGTTTTATTCACTCGTCCACTGGTGGACACTGAAATATTTACTAGAAATTTTCAAATTGAATCATTGCCATTACTCATAATTTATTCATACTTCATAAAATATTTTTATTCTATTTTTAGCAATAAATTTTCTTTATATAAAAGTTAATATTTTTAATCATTTAAAGCTTAATTTTCTCTCAGTAAAAGTTTATAAATGTCCATCTTGTTTTTCTTGATCATTCGCTCTTCTACAATATCTAGAGCAGTTTTATTACTGTTGAGAGACTTTGCATGAACATCGCAACCGGCATCTAACAGTATTTTCACAATTCTTGTAAAACTACTGTCAACAGAGCACATCAGAGGGGTGTATCCACTTAAGTTCTGCTTATTGATCTCGATTTCTGGATGCTTCAATAATATGGACACACATTCCGTGTAACCTCTTCCTGCTGCAATGTGCAAAGCCGTGTCGCCATTAGGATCTTGAGCATTCACGTCACTTCCTTTATCTAATAATCTTTTTACAATTGTACAAGCATTCTTTTTCGCTGCGTAATGAAGTAGTGTACATTCGAATCGATCCCTTAAACCAGTGTCTACATCGCAATTCAAAATGGCTAAAGCCGTGAGGAAGTTGCCATAATTTATGGCAATGAATAATGGCGTTTCTCCTAAAAAATTTCGAGAATTAACGTCAGGTTTTCCGGATAAAAGAATTTCTACAACTTCTACATCGTCCTTCCTGCTTTTCGCTACGATATGCAATGGAGTGTTGCCCCAAGTGTCCTTCAGATGAAGGTTACATCTCGGCACTAAATCTCTTAGTATGTTCTTGATTTTCTGATGGGAGGTGTTCTTGTTACAACAAAATGCCCTAGTTAATACGTGCAATGGCGTACTATCCGATATTTTATCTTGTACATTGAAATTCGTATTGCGATTATCTAGAAATAATCTGATTATATCGGTGTTCATACTGGTGGGACTCATGCAAATATGTAGAGCTGTAGTTCCTTGGATGTTACATTTGTTTACATCAGCTTGAGCGGATATTAAAGCTTGTACGATGTACACGTAACCTCTTTTAGTCGCTTCTATCAATGGCACTTTATGCGAAAATGATTCTTCAGCATTGGGATCAATTCCGTAATCCAGCATCTCTCTCACTTTGTCGATGTCATTATTACGTATTGCTTCGTGAAATGTTGCCAATTTATGATCCATTTCCACAAAATCTAATTTATTCTGATTGGTTAATGTCAAAACTTGGTTTTTCTTTTTGGAATGCAAGTTTTTCCGATTATCTTCAGAGAGGATTAATGCCATGTCTGTACACGATGACGAACGTGAGATTTCAGACTTGTGGCTTGAAGATGTTTCCTTAAATTCCATGTAAGACATTTCGAGAATTAATCCCACTGCTGGTTTTTGCCGTAGAAGGGACTAGTTACTTGTGAATGCTCTTCAAATGGATCTATAAATTGACGCATATGTTTATTAGAGAACAATGGCGTTCGTAACAATGCCAACAATTAAGAACATTTCAGCATAAAGAAAATTTGTTATGATTTTTTTATATAAACAATGAAACATAATTCATATGAATTATGCATTATGCACTGGCATGAGCATCCGCATAAAATTTTCGGGGAGGTTTAGTTTGGTTTTATTCGTATACGGCATCGAGACACGTGGAGGATGCTTCCAGGAAGTCTTTTATGGGAAATTAATCCTTATTTAGGTGTTACAAACCCGTGAACAAACCCGGAAAAGCCATTGGTGAGGCGCAAACCCACGACCAACTACCAGTGTTCGGTGGTTTTATCCACTGGTGGGCTTCAGGAAGCAAAACTTGGAGACAAATAATTTTTATTTAATTATTTAATTTTAGGGGGTTTTGTCTTGTATCGGGGAGGGCAAATGCCCCGTTTCCTACTCTGCAGATAATGGGTCACTTTGATACGATATTCTATAATCTGCTTGTGAAACCCCTAAAATTAAATAATTAAATAAAATATCATTGATGTAATTATTTGTTTCCAAACTTTGCTCCTTATTGGAAAATTTTGTTGACGATATATGTGCCATGTGCATGATTAGATGGAGAACAATGTAAAACAATGTAAATAAATTCGAAATTGTGTGATTGACCAAGATAAAATTTATCTTATCTCTGATTAGAAAAGCAAAAATAAGAGAAATGTAGCTGCTGTTGCCCTCAACCAATCGGGGTTAAGATAAACATGTTAATAACCAATCATCTTTATCTTATCTCTGATTAGAAAAGCAAAAATAAGAGAAATGTAGCTGCTGTTGCCCTCAACCAATCGGGGTTAAGATAAACATGTTAATAACCAATCATCTTAATGAGTTTAAATATTTAAAATTGATGTCTGATATATCTCAAGGGACGACAAATGTATGTATATATGGATATTGATCTTTCTTATTCTTTGAACAGAATTCTTTCGTGGCCTCTAATAGTCTTTTTTTTCATATTCATCGTGGATTCGGTCACCATTTAACTGATTTTTGGATCATCCTGTAAAGATGACATCAAATTGACGTCATATCTTTAGTTTTACAATGGATAGATCCAAAAATTGACGTCAAATTGACGTCGATTGCTCTACTCCTTGCCCTATCCAATAGAAGAAATACGTATTCAAGTATATATTAACCTTGTATTCTGCTTCTTATTATAATTGTCGGATACAAAATAGAATTAATCATATTTAAATTTAACTTAATTTTTAAGCAGCTTTTAACTCTAATGTCAACATTGTTCATCTTCCAAAAGCTATGAAATGGATTCAAGTATAGTCTATATTAGTGTTTATTAAATTTTTATAATATATGTGTTATTGTTTTGGTAATATAAGTAGTATATTCTTTCTTTGTTCAAACAGAAAATAAATAAGATGGATGAAATAGTTAGAGAAGTGCCGTCCACATTGAAACGTCTTGTAAGAATGGTAATGCGTGGATTCTATAATATTGAACAGGTTATTTTAATGGACATGCTTATAAGAAATCCATGTATGAAAGAAGATGATCTTGTAGACTTGTTGAAATTTGAAAGAAAACAATTAAGAGCAGTAATTGCTCAATTAAAAAATGATAGATTTGTTAAAGTTCGTTTAAGAATGGAGACTGGTCCAGATGGAAAAACTTCTCGTCAGAATTATTATTACATTAATTATAAGGTAATTCTATGAAATATTTTTTCTAATAGTAATAATAATTAATAGCTTAATGTAAGATTTTTCTGTGTGTATATATAGAAATCAAAAAGTATTTAACATTTATAAGTTTTATTTTCAAGATCAAATTATAATAATATATACAGGTAACCCCCGTATAACACGGTAGTTACGTTCCAAAAAATTGCCGTGTTATGCGAAACAAAGAACTAGTACGAAAAGGAGGGTTAGGTTCCAAAAATTAAAAAACATGCTATTATATTTTCATAATTAAGATAAATATCTTTATTAAAATTTTCTTAAGTGTACATATTAATATAAATTAAATAATGTTTTCTTTGTTANTTATTTTTTTTTTATTGTTATTCGGTATGGGGCGCGATGCGACGCGTCAGGTCGCGCTGAGTCACTTCGCGTATTATATATATGCAAATATATATATATACAGTTAAAAAATGCATTAATCAAAATACTTAAACACTTTTTCGTAAATTAAACCTTAAAATAAGTGTTTTAAGTATATTATACAGTGTGTCCCAGAAGTCAATTAACAATTGTAAAGCCTTAATTAAATTACTCGTATTCAAATACTTAATTTTTATTTATTTCTTTATCATGTTTCATCAATTTTATATAAGGAAAGCACATAATTTACGACTCATATTTACAAGTCACCCGGAACACAAAACAAAACACGGTTAACTGACTTTCAAGTCACCCCTTTGTCTAATCTTAAAAAAAAAATGAATAAATTTATTCAATATTTTAATATTTTACTCGATAAAAATAAAGTTTGAAATGTAATTTCCGATATTAAATCGATCACAAGAGGGAAAAAAATCGATAAACATAAAATAAATCGTATTGTTGTCTCCAAGCAACTGTATCTAAGTCTACACCAAAGCAAGGTCAGAGACCCTATCGTGTTGATCGTTACGAATGATTCCCTTAACTTGCCACGCTTTTATATACCTCATAAACCATAAAAACCTCTATAATAAGCGTTAAGAAAGTCGATTCTTTCATTAAACTAGATAAGTATTGGGTCATACACGAGGGGGGGGACATACAACAAATTTAAATACCTAGAAAAATATAAAATAATTAAAGGTAAAAAGGTCATTTATTTATTCTTCTGTATACGAGAAGAATTTTTAAGTATAATATATAATTATTATTATGTTTTATTTATTTATTTATTTATTTAATTCTTAAGTTTAGTCGCTCGTAAGAAGGTATCTGGTATGTTTATTCTCTTATATTTTCAAGGTTATTGTAAAACTTAGCGAAATAATAAATGTATGTCCTATTGTCCTATCGTTCTAGAACCTTGAAAACTTAAATTTTATAATGACACGTTTCACATACATAAAATATTTTCGGAATTACTTAAACCATTCAAGGTAGAACTTAAAAAAAATAATAATAAATTATTTTGCCGACGAAAAAATTGGATTAAATTCTTATTATTTGATTTATCCGCTGGAGAATTTAATAAATTATTTATTTCATATTTTTATTTCTTCGTAAATTATTTATATTAATTATAATTTACTTCGAAAAAATGATCGACCCAATTATGAATTCGAGCGTGCCATCGACATCTAATGATTAGTTCGAATTTGTGACGCTAGGAAGCGTAGTAATCGCTACTGGATCATAAAAACGTGATTCGCTGGTATACTTTTTATTCTTATTTTTTATTATTATTTTTGTCCTTCTAACGAACGTCATAATAACACGTCGCGATGGATATTTAATGGCCATTGAACTATTGAAGAATTTTGAAAATAGGGGTAATGGGTTTTTTTTTTTTTTCTTTTTTGTTCAATGCTTAATATACTTAATTTTGGAGAAGTTGGCGATGAAAATTTGTTTTTTGTGATTAAAAAAGCTTGAATTTTTGCAAAAATTTTGTAAAATTACGTTTAAAACTTTGTTTTTTTTTTTCTTGTCTTTTCCTCCCTAATGGGCACTAAGAAGACCTCCTTTTAAATTCATACCTTAGAGCAGTGTTTCTCAATAGGGGCGATATCGGCCCCATGTGGGCGTTATTCCACGTTGAGGGGGCGATTAGTAACAATTTACATTTTGGGGAAGCGAAAAACAATTTTCTGGGCGATGCAGTAAAACATTACATTAAGAATAATTAGATATTTTATTCGTTATATCGTACAATAATTAAACAAAAAACATTATACTAGTCACTAGTCTATTTAATGTAGTACGAATTTGGCGTTAGCCTTGGCCCTGGGCATCGGAATTTTGAAGTGAAGGAGGCGATACTACGTAACGGTTTTATTGAAGGGGGCGACGATTCGTTAGAGGTTGAGAAACACTGCCTTAGAGCATTCTTGATGGGCACACATTATGAGTGGTTACTCTTAGATGGTCCCATCAATGAGTGACCACTCTTGATGGGCCACTCATGGGTACCCGTCAATAGCCGAATGGATAAAACCACTGAACACTGGTATCACATTATCTGTTGTTAAATCTAAAAAATCTAAACTGGTCGTAGTTTTGCGCCTGTCCACTTGGAGTTTTTCACGTTTGTAACACCTAAATAGGGGCAATTTTCCCATAGAAAGTCATCCCAGTGGCTTTCCCTTTCGGCAGATCGCCCATGTGTCATAGTGTCATAACTAAATAAACTAAATCAAACCTTGCAATGGGTGTGATTAAAAAAAAAGGCTACTCTTAGGGCAATAAGAAGGCTTTTTCTTAATCATAACCATTATGGGATTCGGCTGTGTCCACTGTGTAGCAGCCGGATGGGGTCTGACATATTTGGGTAGACTACCCATGAAAAATTATCAAAATAGAAAATGTCAGAAGTATTCCAGTATATGAAGAGCCGTCAAGAACTTGTATGGAGTTTGGAGGGATAAAGTGGGCCCTTTTATCCCTTAAAGGGTCCCTTTTAGTCATTTGTTTTTTGAATAAAGAAATGCGTAGAATGTTTCTTTATTAATAAAAAAGCAGTCTTACATATTTTATTTTCTGTCAGTAAAAATAACATTAATTTTATAGGGATATGAACAACCCGTAGGTTTTCTCCAGATTCGGGGAAAATTCCCTAACTCCACCTCTCCACGACCCTGAATATCTGAAAAAGTGACGTAAAATTGCTCTAAATAGGGATTTCTAATTTCTTCTTGTTTGTCCACCCCTTTCCAGAGCCGAGTTTACTCGTAAGCTTAATTTAATTAACAAACTAGAGCTTAAGGCCTCATATTTTAAAATATATTTGATGAAAAAAGGGCCTCTTATATGTTGTAGCTTAGGGTCTGTAAGTCTAAATTCATCCTCGCCCACTTTCCAAAATTAAATTTAATTCGCCAAC